CTCCTTCTCCTCCTCCTCGACGACCCCTCGACGTGCCCGACGGCGGCGGCCCCGCTCTCAAAAGAAGCCCGGCGCGCCGGAGGTCCGGGCCGGGGGGGGGGGAGCTCGAGAGGGAGGCGGCCTCGCCCCGAGCTCGCCTCGTCGTGGAGGAAAAAAGATCGAAGCTCGCCAGGTCGCGGCTCGAGGAGTAATTAGGAGGAGGAGGAAACGAAGGAGGATGAGGGGAAGGGGGAGAAGGAGGAGATAGGGGAGAAGGACGGGGAGGGGAGGAGGAGGAGGAGGAGGAGGAGGAGGACGGAGGAGGAGGAGGAGGAGGAGGAGGAGGAGGAGGAGGAGGAGGAGGAGGAGGAGGAGGAGGCAGGAGGGAGAGGAACGGGGAGAGGAGGGCAGAGGAGGACGAGGAGGACGAGGAGGACGAGGAGGAGGAGGAGGAGGAGGAGGAGGAGGAGAGGAGGAGGAGGGAGGAGGAGGAGGAGGGGGAGGAGGAGGAGGAGGAGGAGGAGGAGGAGGAGGAGGAGGAGGAGGAGGAGGAGGAGGGTGGGTGGGTGCGTGGAGATCTTAGGGGGCGCTGCCGCCTCTGGGGGGCCCTCGTCGGACAGGTCTAGCATCGAGATGCAGTCGGGCCGCTGAAGAAGGAACCCTTCTCGCTTGGGGGGGCTCAGTGTTCCTGCAGTGTTTCTGCAGTTTGTCTCAGCTGCTCCTGAGTTTCCGATGGGCAATCGAAGAGTCACGTATGGGAAAAAGAGGCCTCGTTCCTTCTTTAGGGTTCCTTGTGACAGCGTTTCGACTGTAGATCCGACTTTCCAGGACGTTCCGCAACGCTCTCAGAGCCTTCTGGGACGCTCTGAAACGGCCGCGGCGCTCGATGCGTCCTCCAGGCCCGCCGATTCTCAGACAGTTCCGATGTATGTCGGTCCGATTTTGTCTGGAGCCGGCCTTCGTCTTACCTTGCCGTCTTGTGGGGCCTCGGGGCCGTGCACAAGAACGGCTCGGTATTAGAAAGGCTGGTTCCCGGGAAGGGTTTTCTGACCTCTAGGGGGCCATGTTGCGAAGAGAAACGCGACGTCGGATGTCTGGGCTTGAGAAGGCGAGAGGGGTTCCAAGAATGGCGGGGCCCTTCTTGGAAACCTCCACGCTTCTGGGAAGCCTTCTTGGAAGCACGTGGGTTCATCTTGCTCAGAGAGCCCATGCTTTCTGTAGAAAACGATGACACAAGCATCACAATTCGGAGGTCCGCGCAGATTTTTCGGATTGGCGCTGAACTCCTCTTTCTGGCGCGCGGAGCGCGCCAGGAGCGGCGCCAGAGGCGCCGCCAGAAGGGCCCAGCGCCGATCCGCGAAAACCGTGCGGACCTCCGAATGGTCATGTTTATGTCTTCGTGTAGTTCCTTTCATTACAGGGCTGCTCCCCCCAGGAGTCCAGACCCACCCCCCAGGGCGGATTTTTCGTCCCGAGTCCCGAGTCGTTCTTTGACGGTCCCGAGGCCCTGCGAGGGCCCCCAGAGGCCGAAAATGGCCAAGAACGCCCCGTCGTGATCTTTCCCGCGGCGTGAGCATGTTCGGGTTTTGTCCGCCTGTTCTAAGAAGCGCCCCCCGTTTTCTCAGAGGCTTTGCTCTGCTTATTCCGTGCTTTACTCTGTCCGGTTCATCCCAAAGCCCCCATGGAGGGGATGCGGATTACGCCTCACGGTTAAAAAAAAAGAAACGCCCCCCGTCATCTCAAAGGGCCAGAACGCACCCCAGGAGAGGCCCAGGGATTTGCGGCAAGCTTTCCCCCCCTCCCCCCCCCAGCGGGGGGTGCAGGCCGGAGGGCGGCAACCGCAGCAGCACGGCAGGCAAGGGAGCCTGCCCGCCGACGAGGGGCCGTGTGGAAGCTCCTCGCCCTCCGGCGGCCCCGAGGAGCCACGGCGAGTGGCGGGGCACCGCGGGGCGGGGCCAGGAGGGGCGACGAGTGTCCCCGCAGAACTCTCATCCCAACGCTCCTCCTCATCGCGCGCACCTCCTCAGGAGGAGGAGGAGGAGTCGGAGGAGGAGGAGGAGGACGAGGACGAGGAGGAAGAGGAGGAGGAGGACGGAGGAGGAGGAGGACGGAGGAGGAGGAGGAGGAGGTGGCGGAGGAGGAGGAGGCGGAGTAGGAGGAGGCGGGGCGAAGAAGGGAAGACGGCATGGACAAACGCACAACTAGTCCCTACGTATTGTGAGACGTGCCAAGTCAAGTCATGGCCAAGTCAGGTCGAAGAACGCGGAAACGGCATGGCCACGTCTGGCGACGCATGATTCCCTATTGCGAAGGCCTGACGGCCGGTGCCGCCGACCCTGTTCGCAATGCGCAGCAAGAGATTACGAGGTTGCTCAAGGTCGGCTTGGCTGGAGCCCAGGGGAAGAGGAGTCCCAGGGGGGGGCGTCGTATCTGGGGGGGGGCGTCGTATCTGACCCGGGGGGGGGGTCGCTACCCCCCCCTCCCTCCCGGCGGGG